AATGATCATCAGTATAGGTTAAAATCAGACACGTTAATGTTCGAAAATGTAATGAATGTTTTACTTTGCATATTTTTCTATATTCATTTTTTTTTTTTAACAATGAGATATAAAAAAAAAAAATATCTGTTGTAAAAAATCCATATAAGTAATATTCCGAAAAATATTTGAATATTCTATTTTCAAACGGAAACCCTAAGTTTTATTGATAAAAATGGAACGAACTGTATCAATAATTGATTTTTACTATAAAGTGCCTTTAATGCCAATGGTGAATTGAAAAATACTCAAAAAATATTTGGTCAAGATATCAACTTTTATAACTTTTATTTTGAATAATATTTTTACCCAATCTGGTTAATGTATACACTCTTTCATCTTATTGGCTTGCAGAACCATTTATATGCCCATCTAATTAGAGCTTTTTGGTAATCCAGATGTTAAAGATGTTAAAAATTTACACAATCTTCAGCAGTTGCAAATACCATCCTCAATCATTATGGCTTTACCTATTTTAACCACGTAAATCTGCTTGGCAGAATTATTTGTTACTCCAATTGGAGGTCAGTTAATATATTATAACAATTGTGTATTCGGGGTGTTAATTATAAACCCGAAATATTAGATAATATTAATAAATTTTTACGGATTATGATCACTGACACAATGATTACTATTAAAATAATGTAAATGGTTCACTATGAAAATTCATTGTTCATCAAATATACAGCAAATATACATTTACATTTATTCACCAAATATACAGAAATTTAACTATATTATATACATTTTATAATCATATTATAAGTATAAAATGCACAGAAAAATGAGCCCGATTTGAACATTTTCTAGTCAAATCTTTGTACAATTTATGTTTAAGTTTTATACAATTTTCGATTAAAATTCATATAAAATTTGTTAAAATTTCATTAGAATTTATACAATTATCATATAATATTCGTTTAAAATTATATAATTTTTATACAATATTGATACAATTTTCGTTTGCATTTCGTACATTTAAATTTTGTTGTAAAGTATAATATACCATTACCATATCATGAATATACATGCTAATACAAACTAACTGAATATAATATTATATTATAAAAGAGGTTTTTTTAATAGATTAGGGTAGAAATGGTAGAAATTGATATAAAAAGCAATTTCGAAATGTATACATACCTTTACATAATTCATATTTATTGGTTATTTTCGCTTATTGTATCGTCTTTTCTTGACAGGTTGGATAGGATCTTTCTCGGTTGGATTCATTGTTTCAGGCCCTATATTATTCTTATTTTGAAGGGATCTACGAGGTACAGTTTCTCTGCTATTATTTAATGTTGTAAGATTAGTATATTTAATATTATCAAAACTAATTCTCAATATGGCTCATTATTAATCAAATCACATAATAAACATACGCCTTATAACCATTCTGTACTGAAGATTTTTTTGATGTTTGTATTAACGATTGGGATTTACCGGACTTAGTTATTTCCTGAGATGTCAACCCTTCAGAATCAGAAATAAGAGTACTTTTGAAAGGTTCTAAATCTTGGTAATCTGAATCAAGTGACAATATATCTTCATGTTCCTAACCTATATTGACATTTGTGAAAACAGTTAATTTATTAGTATCCTTCAAGGAATTTTCATTAATCAAATATTTACTTTCAGTTGTTTTCCTGGTGTTTTCTTTTTTATTATTATTATTACTATTTATCTTTCGTAGATTTTCTTTTTGTATAAGTTGAGAAGATACCATATGATCAGGTACATCTTTAAAGGAAACGATTATTACAATCAGTTTAGGCTCTTTAATATAAATATCAAAACTCTCTGTATCTGGATTGTCATTATACGATTATATAGGAATGGTCATTGAGTCAAATTCGTAATTGATTTCAGAGCCTTCACCAGAATTTCTATGATCTTTTGTTGTATAATTCTTTCTATTATTCTTATTGTTGATTGAACCTATAGTATATGATATAAAAAAATATTGACATTAGAAAATATGTTTTTTGTTAATAAACCCAAAGAATTTGACTTACTTTTCATTTTAACATCTTTAGTATTTATACTATTTTGATGACGGTTGTTATCACCTACGGAAAAAAAAAATAACTATTAATTATAAACCCAATATAAACCAACATTTATTACAGTATATACACAATTGATATTTATCTTGCGACGCATGAGATATACCAAGGCTTAGTCATCAATACAATCTGGAAAGTAAGGATTAGATTTTTTGAATTTACGGATAATACCAGCCCAAATCATTTTATCTAAATGTTTATACTAGACTCTATCAGGAGTGTAACATTTAACAAGATCGTAAAAAGCAGTCTTAAAATTAATTGTCATATATACTTTTTTCTAAATTTAGTTTTAAATGCAAATTTGCAAATCGACTTAACCCATTAGAAGGTTTTGGAATCAGCGTAGAAGCTGACTGACTATTATTATCTTTATCTGTTATGTTATAATCATCCTTGGAAAATGTGACAAATATATGTTAGAGAGGTTATAAAATAGGAATTGTACTTAAAATATACTTCTGTATCATTCGATTCTTGTTCAGAACTTGATTGTTTTAAGCTTGATTCTTGTCACTTTTTGGAAGTTTCTTTTGCTACTATACGATTTTTTGTCTCTGTTTGAGTATTTTTACCTATGAAACTCTTATCCGAAACTATCACTTCTTTATTTATTTTAGCTTTCAATGTTTTATTTTTATTTTCTAGAGCAGCAATATGAGCCAGAATTGACGAAAATGTTTCTCTGTCCATTATATCTATTGCTTCTTATGTAGTATTATCATTCTTAAAATTTCAACACAAAGTCATCATCAATTATTTTTTGTGAAATTGAACTTCGTTCTTCACTACTCCCAGGATTTGGTATATATTTCTGGATAATGGATTTACCATTCTTTTTATGTCTAGACATATTTAATTTACAAATAAAGAAAATGTAAAAGAAGATTTTAAATAGCTAAAAATGTTTTAAAATATGTGAACAGGAGTGGTTTAAGTGAGATTTTATGAAGAAATTAAATTTTAAGTTGATTTATAAAGCTGAAATCAGTAAAGTATCATAAATAAATCTTGTACTTTAAACTTTTAAACTTTATAATTAAACTTAAAACATTATATTGAAATGAAAAATCAATCATTGTGATAATTAAAAAAAATCATTAACTTAAAGCTTTGTATTAAAAAATCAATCATCAGGATAGTTAAAAAAATTAACATTTTTGAAAAAATAATATTTAACGTATTTTAACATTAGAAATGATCGATATTAATAGTTTTGCTGTAATAACTAAATATAGACATGAAAATTTTTTTTGATTAAAATTTTTACATGCTACATGCAGATTTCAACTTAATATAATCTTAAACTTTATATTGATTATCAATTAATTGGATTTGAGAGTATAAGTTCTGATTATTTAAGAATATTTTTAAATTGATTTCTTTTTTTTCTTTTTTTTTTATCTTGTCAATAATATTCTTCTGTTTTTTTTTCACCTTTTTTTATTATGAATATGTTAAGTCAGAAATTAAATAAAGTTTTTGTACATATTCTAAATGTTATCAAAAAGATATTGAAAGAGGAATTGGAATATTCATATCGAAATCTACAAGAACTAGACATTATAGACAAGATTATGAAAAGCCACATGTCTCAAATTCTATCTTAAGTTCTAGTTCTAATTTTAGATCATCATTTTTAAGTTTTTCAGATGTTAGTTCTAGTTCAGAAAGTGAAATAGTTCAACTATCTGGATTTAATAGACTCTCAAATAATATTAGATGTAATTTTGATAACAAATTATCAAACAATGCCTCAGAAATTATTGAAGAAGTGATGATCACTAATGAAATTAAATCAAAATTTAAGATCGATTTACTATCTGTATCAGAGGATTTAGAAGTTAAATTTACTTCTAATTCTACGCTGTCTATATCAGAGGATTTATATAATATTTCAAATTTTATGCTATCTGTATCAGAAGACTCATCCGATAATATATCTGGTATGATATATATATATATTATTATTGTTATTTTTTTTTCTTTTTGAAATATTATAATTATTTTTTCATTTTTTATACTTAGACTTAGACTTTGATAAAGGAATAAAATTGTTAGACAAATTAGTTTGTGCATTGAGATTACTCAAAATCAAGGCTTGTCATAATTTAACGAATGATGCATTTCGTCAAATAATGATAGTAGTTAATGGTAGTGATACTAGCCTTCATCAAATAAAAAGTATATTAAAATCTATAGTGCTAATAATGCCAATATGAGTGGATATGTGTCCTAATTTTTATTGTGCATATACCAGAAGTTACAAAAATTATAATGAATGTGAATACTATTATACACTAAGATTTCAGATTGAAAAATCAAGCTGAAAACGTCATCCTCAATGTTAAATGGCATATTTCTTTATTAAAGATTGTATTATTATCTAATACTAAGATTCAACGCGTTCTGAAGAATTAAGATATCGTGCAAATTATACTCAGCATCAAGGTTTCAGTACTGATAAAAATATTGGAGATATCTTTGATGGGTCAAGATATCACAAACCTTTATCTAATAGTTTCTTCCAAGATGATCGAGATATTGCATTAACTAGTTCTGTTGATGGTTATCAAATCTTCTGACAAAAAACTGATGATTGCTGGATAGTTCTAATAATTAATGCAAATATCTGCCTAGAAAACTGTGTTAAAAAAGAGAATATGATAATTACAGCTATCATATCAGGTCTAAAAGAACCCAAATACTTCAATTCATTCATGCATCCTATAGTTAAGGAATTAAAAGAGCTTAAAGGTATATTAATATATTATTATTATCTTTTATTATTATATTTAAATAATGATTAATTATTTAGTTATTTCACAATCATTTGATAGAATACATTGCTATGATAGATTAAAAGAGGAATCTTTTTTATTACACGCATATGTTTTGTTATGGTCAGAAGACACACCTGGTTTAATAAAACTTATGAACCTTACTGGACATAATTCTTATAAAGAATGTCATTGTTGTGATATTTGGGGCATTTATATAAACTATATATATTTTCCAATGACACCTCCAACAAGCAAGAAAGAATGTGAAATATATGATCCTAAAAACTTACCTATACGTATTTATAAACAATTTAAAGATCATATTCGTCAACTGAATCAAATATTTACATCTAAAAGAAAAGATGAATTAACAACACAATTTGGTATGTTCAATTCTCAATATAAATAAATAAATAAATATATTATATAAACTAATTTAATGCAAATATAATCACTTTTAAATAATAGGGATAAAGGGATGCAGTATATTGTTTAATTTAAAAGTGATTCAGTTTCCACTTTCTTTTCTGATTGATTTCATGCATCTTATTTATGAAAATATCTCTAGCTATATGTTTAAGCTTTGAACTGGAAAAATTTTTCCAAATGGTAATAATAATAATGATTATGTACTTAATAAAACTATATGGAAAGAAATAGAAATTGAAATGCATTATGTTCGTAAAACTATTCTATCTTATTTTGGATGATCATCACATAATATATTTCTTTATCATAATGGATATAAAGCTGAGGAATAGGCTGCATAGATAACATTATACTCTTTACCTCTTTTAAAAGGATGAATGCCAATAAGACATTATATAGGATGGGCTAATTTTGTTAGGGCTATATGTTTATGTCAAAAATTAACATTAATAGCATAAGATATAAGAAATATCTGATACTTATTTTATTCTTTTTACAAATATTATGAAAGGTAAAGTTATTAAATGATATTAATTTAAATATATGTTGATATTATTTAATTAATTAATTAATTATTTATTTATTACTTTAAAGAATATTACTGTGGTCAAGAAGAACATATTAGTATAATGAAACTATATTTTCATAACATATTATACACTAAACTACATTAAATTACCGGATTTTTTTATATATATTAAAATTATATATAAATTACAATTTTAGTTATC